CATGAAGAAAGAAAAAAGTCATTAAAAAGAGAGGAAAGAAAGAGAAGATCAAAGTGGTTGTCAGAAGAGACTCTAAACCTTGCTCTTAATCATAGAGTACTGAAAGCAAATGGAAGAAAGGATGAAGTCAAGGAGTTACATAGAAATTTTCAAAGGGCAGCTCAAGAAGACAAAGCCAAATATTACAATGAAACATACAAGGACCTAGAATTAGAAAACCCAAGGGAAGAACGCGCTCAGCATCTCTGAAACTGAAGGAACTCAAGAAAAAATTCAAGACTTGAGTTGCAATCTTGAAAGATTCTGTAGGCAAAATACTCAATGCTGCCGGAAGCATCAAAAGAAGATGGAAAGAATACACAGAGCCACTGTAACAAAAAGAACTATTGGCCATTCCACCATTTCAGGAGGTAGCAGTTGAGCAAGAACCATTGGTGCTGAAGGAAGGAGTTGAAACGGCACTGAATGCATTAGCCAAAAAAAAAGGCTCCAGGTATTGACGGAATACCTCTTGAATACCCCAGCTTGTTCAGAAAGCCAAAGAAGCATTGGAAGCACTCACTCATCTATGGTAGCAAATCTGGAAGACAGCTGCTTGACCCAACATAATGCTCAAACTATAGAACTCTATCATTGATATCACACACAAGTAAATTTTGTTTAAGATCATCCAACAATTGTTGCATTCAATAATTGCATCCAACAATGGTACATTGACAGGGAACTGCCAGAAGATGAGGCCTGATTCAGAAGAGGCTGATGCCACATGGATCTTGGCTTAAAGCAGAGAATACCAGAAAGATGTTTACTGTGTTTCATTGACTATGCCAAGGCACTTAACTATGTGGACCATAATACACTGTAAATAATCTTGAGAAGAATGGGAATTCCAGAAGACTTCATTGCGCTCATGAGGAACCCGTACATAGATTAAGAGGCAGTTGTAAGAACAGAACAAGAGAATGCTGCATGGGTTAAAATCAGGAAAGGTGTGGGGTTGTATCCTCTCGCTATATTTATTGAATCTGTAGAACAATCATCAGCAAAGCCAGACTGTATGATGAAGAATGTAGCGTCAGGATGTGAGGAAAGCTTATTAGCAATCTGTTATGTGCAGATGACACAACCTTGATTATTAAAAATGAGGAGGAATTAAAACACTCCCTGATAAAGATCAAGGATTGCTGCCTTCAGGATGGATTACAACTCAATTTAAGGAAGAGCAAAATCTTCACAACTGGACACATAGGTAATATGATAAATGGAGAAAAGTCTGAAGTTGTCAAGGATTTTGTCTTGTTTGGATCTACAATTAATGCTCATAGAAGTAGCAGTCAAGAGATCAATGAATGATGTGATTTTTGTTCCTTGATGCTTGATCCTTTCAACACCTCATGATCGCACAGGCTGGTGTGCTTCTTCCATGTGGGCTTTGATGCTTCTGTGCTAGATGGCCGCTTGTTTA